CCCACACGCCTGAGGGCACCCCCGCCCTTCCGGTTCCGCCCACGCCCTGCACCTCGTGCCTCTTCCCGACCCGCCTCCGTTGCCTAGTGATGAGGGAGGACCCGGTCGGCTTGCAGTCAAAATTAATTAATACATTTTGAAAAATAAAATACAGTAACAGCTCTCTGTGCGCCAGCTTGAATGCACGTTTCTGAAATGCAGTTCCCACTGGTGGGACTCACTTGGGAACCTCCGGTGTAATAGGGAACTGGAGTTCTGCAGGCCTCAGAGAATAAGGAGATGGTAAAAAGGGAGACTTAAAAATTGTTTTAATAAAAAAGAGTAAGAGGAAGTGGAAGACCAGCAGGGGGAAAAAGAAAGAAGCCCCCTTTAGTCATCCTACCAGGAGATCAAAGTTCTAGTCCCAGCTCTGTTGCTGGGACAAACCTCTTCATCCCTCAGTCTTCCGGTCGGTGACGTGGGGAGAAGAATCCTTGTTCCACCCTCTGGCAGAGACTGTATAAATGACAGCTCCTGGTCTCCTGAGCCTCCCACTCCCTTAATCCCCTACCCTCCTTGCCCACTCTCCTCGGGGCTTCTGCTCCTCTCTGCGTTCTGTCGGTGTCTACTCCGGGCTCCCCACCCCTGCCGATGGGTCCTCAGGACCCCAGACCACTCATTCCTTGACCTTGACCCTGCCCTGCTGTTTGACCCCTGCTGTTGGTCCTCTGACGCTCTGGTCTCTGTTTCCAGTGTAACCAGAACAAATCCGACTGCTTCTACCAGACATACTCATCGGGGGTGGATGCGGTGAGGGAGTGGTACCGCTTCCACTACATTAACATTCTGTCAAGACTGCCAGACACCTTTACATCCCTGGAGGAGGACAAGCTGGGCAACTTCATCTTCAGCTGCCGCTTCAACCAGGCCTCCTGCAGCCAGGCGTGAGTCTGTCTTGCCCAGCTCTGTGCTCCCCGTGGTGTCTCCTTCCCAGAGCCAGCCTGAGGCCCAGCATGAGTGGCACCCAGGAAAAGCTTGTTGACTGAATAAATGCCTGCACGGAGGAGGGGACATATTGATCTCAGGTCCAAACCTCTGTCCCACAGATCCATGGATCATTCTGCAGGACTTCTGCTGCTCCCTGCAGGGCTGGGTCTGAGTGAGGTAGCCTCATATGGCTGCCCTGGGCAGGCTGGGGTTGAGGCCCAGCTTTGAGAAACCAAGGGCTGGAAGCATGGTTCCCTGTCTACCTAAGACCTCTTTCTCACTAGCATCAAACTCAAAAGTGCCTGGAAGGTTGTCTGGTTCCATCCTTCACTTTCTCAGATGAGGTGGGCATAGTGTGGTGGAAATAGCATGGACTGAGTGAGGATTAATCCCGAGTTCCTGCTCTGACTCTGTTACTTCCTGACCAGGTGACTCTGGGCATTTCCTATCACTCTTCAGAGCCTGTTTCTATGTTTGTAAAATAGGTTGAAAATGAGATTTATTCAATGTTCATTCAACAAATATTTTGGACTGTCTAGGCTATGTGCCAGTCACTGGTCTAGGCATTTGGGGTACATGAAAGAAGAAAATATATGTAATCATTGCCCTTTTGGCACTTTTACTCCAGTGACGAAGATGGTGATAACATTCATCTCCAAGTGCATGAGATGACAAATTCAAGGGCACTTTGTAAACTGTAATGAATGACGGGTCTTATTACTCTGGATGTAAGCAGGAGAAGTGACTTGCCCTAGGCCACCAGGGCAGCCCTAGCTTAAGGATTCTTTCTACCAGGCATTCTTCCTTTATAATGTCCTTGCAAAGAGGTCATGGCAGCTGCTAGCTTTCTGAGGGCTGGGAGAGACTAGGAGTAAGGGAGGCTACAGAAGGAAACCTCCGTCCTACCCCCACCTTCCCCTCTTTGATTCTGCTCCTTGATTTTTAGGTGCCACCTCCTTGCTTCTGCCTGGTGGAGGAAGGGTGTTGAGGCAGCCTCTCCACTCTACAGGGAGCCCTTCTCTCCCATATTGCTGCTGACTGGCATCAGGGCCAGGTGTCACCTGCTTCTGCCTCCACCCCTCACCTGGCACACACACTCTGCCCAGCACACAATTTTGTTCCTGTCTCTAGTCTTGTGTTTGTTTGAGGACAGGAGTTACCAGCTGGGAAGTGAGACAGTAGCAGCACCTGAGCCTGGGTCAGCTCACAACTGCCACTGAGTCTCTCTGTCTGTCACCTTCCCACTGATCTTTTCACTCTGTCTGCCCCATGCTCCTACCTCCCTATGAATTGAAAGACCATAGTTCATCTCAGTCTTGATGCTTAGGTCACTTCCTTAGCTCAGAGCCTCATTATTTCTCAGCTGGGTTCTTATTACCCCCCCCCCCC